TAGTTTGAAAAAGCCGCGAGCCATTCTCCGAGCATGTGCACAATGTAATTATGGAATTTTATGTCACTCTGTTGCTACAACTCTTTACTATGTGATTAAAAGACGAAAATATTAATTGTCATTATCTCTATGCTATGATGATGCTAAAAAATACTTTTCGATTGAAGGTAGTTTGAAAATGTCGCGAGCCATTCTCCGAGCGTGTGCGCAATGTAATTATGGAATTTTATGTCACTCCGTTGCTACAATTCTTTACTATGATTTAAGGACGAAAATATTAATTATCATTATCTCCATGCTATGTGGTTAACTAATCCGGCTCGAAGGACCATGTTAAAGTAAAGTATACCATTGATTTTTTTATGGGATATTTGATTATGACGGGACTTCGACGGGAAGGAAGCGAAGCACGCGCGCATATTATAGCATACATACTTTTTATCAAGTACCGCGGTGACGGAGTCGCGACTATTAGTAGTAACATATTTATTAAAAAGTTTCCATTCGAGAAAAGTATACATTCAATGTTCAATAAGATACAAAAAGTCAGAATAAAACCTCTTTTGTGCATACTGCTGAAAAGCTTCCAACTACAAACGTCGCTTGACCTTTATTCTTCAAACGACTAGTTGTTGTTGCATTTGTGTTGGGAATTGTACAGTTCTTTATTGAACTGATTTAACAAAAACGCTAACGCTACGATTGAGTGCAAGTCACACAACATTCATTTTATTCCTTCTGCTCGGTTAATAATGCTTAATATGAATGTGAGACTCAGAATAAAATAAGTATTCATAATTGGATTATGAAAAACTTGATTGAAGACAAATTAACAAGTTCTATTAAAAATATTTTAAATCAATTACTTTTTTAATTTTTTTAAGTTAAAGTAAACATTTTAATTTGTATTTTATTACGATATTTTAATAATTAAATACTCTATCGTAAAAATATGTCAACGGCCATGTTGTAGTAGCGGTCATCTTGAATTTATTTCAAGTATATACTGTGCTAGTCACGCCTTTATCATTTGATATCCATGTCAGGGTAGTTGTAAAAAAATACGTTGTCGGCCATATTGTAAAGGCGGCCATTTTGAATTATTCCTAATAAATTTTATAAAAGTATACAAAAAAGGTGCAAGTCTAATTTGAGTTACAAGATTTGAATCATTTTTTAGAAAATTATATATTTATTATTTATTTATTTTTAAATATTTTTATTTTTTATTATGTGAGTTAACGAAAAAAGCTCTAAAGATAAAAAAAAAGTCTAATTTTCGGGCTTGTAGAAAAAAATTCGCGCTTCTAACATTTAATTGCGCATAGACTATAAAATAAAATTTTCGGTTTATTTTAATTCGCTGAACATAAGTTCGGCTTAAATCATAGAGAGGCATCAAACCCCAAGAAGCTTTAAACTATGACTGCGTAAATCCCATTTACGTATTACATTTCCATACCTAATTCTATAATAGTTTTTTTTTAATCCTTACTCTTAGCTTGCAGACATATCGAGAGACAGCAAGCTAATATCAGGAATATTATAACAAATTGTGCGAGGGTGCTTTCACCAGTACATGAGTGTAAGAAATATCAAACAACTTGTGATCTTTGTCTACCTTTTTGAAAAATGCCATTCTTTAGTCATAAAAATACAACGTTATTGTACTTTATGAAACATAGTAAGATATTTTAAATCAAAAGAAAGCAAGATAGTGCTTTCAATAAACTTTGAAGTTTGTAAATGCAACAGGTGACTGAATTTCGCAAGTAAAAAATGACACGCTTGCAAAATGCATTGAGCGCACTTTAATGTGTAAAAGTGTAACGCTTGGCAGAACAAACAAGCCATTAACACGGGCTTCCATTGCCGTACTGAGAGATATAGTCGTTTTTTTGTTGTACAAGGCTTTCGGCAGTAGAAGCCCACGACTAAAATAATATCGTAGAGATGCAGTCGTTGATATTTTATGAGGACCGAGTTATTAATCATCTAATTAATCACGTAATCAAATAATCCTATTAATATTATTTTCCTTTTTTAAATTTACAAATAATTTTAGAACAGCATCGAAGCTTAATTCTTGTGCTGCTTAAATGTGCAATTTCTTTTTATATGCAATTTCTTTTTCTTTTTTTATTCTTCTTTTTTTTTGTTTCGTATGTGTATTTGGTACACACTATTTAAAAAATAGAAATTTACTAAAAGGCTCAGCAGCAACAGTATGAATTATTCAAATCATAAAATACATAAATAACACAGATAAATATATAATACTGTTATATATTTCCAAGAGACGTAGAAAATAACAAAATAAAGATTATTTCAGAAAGCAAATAACACGCGCAGCTTTACAAGAAAACATGTATTGTGAAATTGGTAATTCTTTTGTTAACCCAGACATGTTTACGTAAAAGATTTTCCAAACGAAAGTGAACTCCATTCGTGACGTAAGATAGCCGCTTTTATTTACTAATATTTGGACTTGAATTCCATTGACTAGTTAACTATTTTTAGGCTTTCAAATTTGATTTTAAAATCATGTCCATTTTTTTTAAACATAAACGACGGTGATTAATTGCCTAAAACGAGGTCACGTTAAATTATTTTACTTCTTTCAAAACTCAAGTCATTTTAATTTTTTAAACTTAAAATATGTAGTATTTTTCAGAAAAAAAAGTATAAATTTTAATTTCAAATATTAAAAAAAAACCATAAAACACAAAAATATTTTGTAAAAATTATAGCAATAAAAAATAACTTTTCGCGACATACAATAATTTGATAGACAAAATACGCAGGCAAATTAAAGAAATATACCAAAATTATTATAAATAAAAAAAAATACACAAAAAAAAGTCGGTCAGTAAGTTAGTACTTACCGGTGGCGCTTAACCGCACGTGGATGTAGTTAGCGTAGACCGACGCGAACCGTAGGCAGCTACGAGCTACGAGAGGGAGAGCACTCCGAACGCCACGGTTCCCAAACGAGAACTGAACGTTTGTTCTCGCTGCTCGCTCTTTATGTGCTTATCGACCCCTCGCCGCGCTGACTCGCCCTCAGCCCCAATACGCCGTCGCACCCTTCTGCCGCGCAACCTTACCGAAACACGGAGTCGCTTTTAAACTATTCATCTGTTGTTATCCTCACCGACTTGGATAGGACATGTGACTTCACGTCACTTTCGTCAAAAATCGCTGACCCATACAACTT